AAGGCATATTATCTAATAAATTCTACAATTTGTTCTACAGGGTGGGGCATAACCTTTTCCTAGGGGGTCACAGCAACACTTGTAATAACAACACAAATAATTCATACACCATTCGAAAGCCCATCAAAAACTGAGTTTATTGACACGATTTAATAGTCAGTATGACCACCATTAGCCCTTCGAATGGTGTATGAATTATTTGTGTTGTTATTACAAATCTTGCTGTGACCCCCTAGGAAAAGGTTATGCCCCACCCTGTAGAACAAATTGTAGAATTTATTAGATAATATGCCTTGTTATCTCGCCTTGTCCCGCCTTCTCCTGTAGCGAAAATGTACAAAACTTTCTTAATCCCTTGTTCTGGGTTCTTGGCCTTTTGACCAGGAACCCTTTTCCTTGGAATACTCCAACGAAAAGCAATCAGAAAACCTGCACCTCGTGTCTGGTATCCATCATTGGCTTCGGCTCCAGGCTCGGACCCCAATTGAGGACAACATTACCTAGACATCTTGTATAAAGCAGGCAATTACAAGCTGTTGTGGGTAGGGGTGGTTTACTTAATTTCATTCCGTCTCCTTTCAGGCAGTGCAAGAACGGTGCAGGCCTCTGGGAAGTTCTGCAACTGAAGGACCAGTACAGCCTCAGCGAGCATCTCAGCGTTGCCAAGGTAACAAGCCTCTCGCTGCATCCTTGGTTCCCCCCTTTTGCAAAGCAAGCTCGATCCCTCTGGGATCCTTCAGAAGGATCCCAGGAGACAAAAGCACACCATCAGGATCAGCCGTACTTCAATGCTTGGCTTCCAGAGGTTCTCCAGATGTTCCTATCAACATGAGAAGAAAAACCACTGAATCACAGCATCCCAGTCTCTCAAATCAAGCAATATGTTAAAAATACTATAGGATGGCTTCCTCTGTTGAATCAGCTGAAGATAGTCAAGAGATCTTGTTTTGCAATATCGGCTGGGGTGGGGCTGGAATTTTGGGCAATGTTTCTCCTCATTATATTCAAATATACCCAGAAGGGCAGTTGGGGAGACCGTTGGCCCAGCTACCCATTTTGTAAACTCCAAAAGCTCACAACCTTATTTATGGGGACTTTTGAACTCTTCAAGAGTGTAGGTCACCTCTCCTTGTAGAATTCATTCAATCTTTACTATTGGAGAACTCTGGACGATTAATTTGCTCTCCCCACAAAGAAGAAGAGAGGGAAATTTAATATCTTTTCCTATTCTGTGCACACGTTTTCATGATCAACAAGGCTCATGCTCTGAATTTTAGGTAAATAACAAGGATAGAGGCTTGTACAGTCTTTTTCTTTATAAGAGAAAAGTCAGCAGACTAAAAAAGATGGGGAGACTCTAGAAAAGAGTGCCGAGAAGAGCAACTGGGATGATGAGGGGAGTGGAGGCTAAAACATACGATGAACGGTTGCAGGAACTGGCCATGGCTGGTCTAGTGAAGAGAAGGACCAGAGGAGACAGGAGAGCATCTTCCAATACTTGAGAGGCTTCCCCAGAGAGGAGGGGGTCACACTATTCTCCAAAGCACCTGAAGGCCAGACAAGGAATAATGGATGGAAACCAGTGGTGGGTTCCGGATCCCGTTCCAACCGGCTTCACCCACATGGACGCGTGTGGTGCGCATGCACACGGGCGTGGCGCACGCATACGTCATCCCTGCCTGCAACGCCTCCACAAGCCTCCGCGATGCTCCAGCTGCTTACTAGAGACACTCCAGATTGGGGGAGATAATGGGCATCTGTTGCTGTTTTTCCTCCCAAGGGGGAAAAATAGACTGAAAAAGCAGTAAAAACACCTCTGAGTGTTATTTCAAGCTGGAAAACACATGGAGGAAATTGTTTAAGAGCCAAATTGACCATTTCCAAGCCCCATTTTCAGCCTGTGCAATCCTGTAGGTCGAGGGGGAATGGGGAAAACAACCCCCAGGATGGTCCTTCCAGCATTGATTCTATCTTTCACATTGGAATCGGGCGGCTAATAAATTCAGAAAAATGAATGCATCGATTAAAAATAAAATCATTAAAAATGAATTCATTAAACTTAATTCAATATTAAACTGAATAACCATACCAAAACATGCCATTGTACAAATACAAATACAATAGCAGATTTGGAAGGGATCTTGGAGGTCTTCTAGTCCAACCCTCTGCCTAGGCAGGAAACCCTACACCACTTCAGACAAATGGTTATCCAACATCTTCTTAAAACCTCCAGTATTGGAGCATTCACAACTTATGGAGGTTAATTCTTCCACTGATTCATTGTTCTCACTGTCAGGAAATTCCTCCTCAGTTCTAGGTTGTTTCTCTCCTTGGTTAGTTTCCACCCA